ATATATATATATATATATACGTCTCTGGACTTGGGAACATTTCAGTTGCGTTGCTGTCTATGCAGGGTCAGAAAGCTCTCAGATTCCATCAAAAATATCTTAATTTGTGTTCCGAAGATGAACGAAGGTCTTACAGGTTTGAAACGACATGAGGGTGCGTAATTAATGACAGAATTTTCATTTTTGGGTGAACTAACCCTTTAAGGGAATACTTCCAAATACAAACACCAACCCCACATATCTACTCTATCCATGTCCGATTTTGGTTTTGTCTGGAGTCTGTGCACTTATTTTTCCCAATGGAAATCATTTCTGCCATTTCCCAATAGCTTTGGCTACAGCATCGGTTCCCGTCCCATTGCTGTTAAAAAACTCTGACAACTAGAAAAGTGCAAAAGAGGCTTCAAGTTCGTCTCTTGAGTTCATATCAGCAGTACAGTCTGTGGACAGCTGTATAATAGAGCCTTAACAGAGACAGTGACTTATGAAACAGCCATCTGACTCCCTGCTGTGAGTGTTTAACTCTTTCACAACTAAACCAGATAAAAAGCCAGACTCTTAGGAGGATGAAAGCCCACGAGCGCGCTCAGAAAGGGTTTTCCACACACAGCCTGAGGTGAAGGATTCCATCGATCTTAACGCTTCGTGTTTAGAGGTCTGTCGGGTAACTTCAGGAATGCTGCTCGGGTTGCTCCAGCACGTTTTTTTTTGACACTTCCCCATTGTGGCGGCCTCCGCTCGCATCCAAGGCCTTGTCATCGTTTCAGGAATCTGGAAAACACTAGGAGGAATGAGAGGAATTTTGCACTTTTCTCAGTCCCTGTTTTCCTCTCTTCGCTTCGGGTCGTCCTCATGGCCGTTTTTCTTTTGTTTTTTTGAATGGTGACCAACAATAACAACATCCCATAAACAATGGAGTTGGTTGAGTTGACGGGGGTGTGTGGGGGGGTGAAGTGTTATTGCGTTTGGCAGCTGCTGCGCTGGCAGGCTCTCGGCTGAGGGTTAGCAATGTGCTCTTTGTGGTAGTGAGGAGATATTATGTCAGTTCTTGGATATGTGGCAGGTCTCGCGGGACAGAGGACTCTGCATCCTCTAGTAAACCCCCTCTCTGTTCCTTTCTCACATGCGTTCATCTTAACAGGCACAATGCCATTAAAAAAGCACCTCAAATAACTCACAGTTCACAGTTAGGCTATTTACTAATACATGATTAATAGAAAACCATCCGAAAGCAAAGTTTGTGTACTTAATATTCAGTTAGCTTATACAATACACTTCCAAAAAGTGGTTTTGTAGCAAGGCCATAGAAGAACCATTTTGGGTTCCCCAAACAACCTTCCAGTGAACAGTTCTTAAAAGAATAGGTATCACTTTAGTTTAGGGAACAATTCTCGCTATTAACTAGCTGCTTATTAGCATGTCTATTATAAACATGTTGGCTGTTTATTAGGACTTAAAGCACATATGACCATATTCTACATCCATAATCCTACCCAATATCTAAATTTAACAATTTACTATTAATAAGAAGCAAATTAGGATATTATTGAGGCATAGTTAATGGTTTGCTAACAGTGAGAATTGGACCTTAAAATAAAGTGTGACCAAAGAATCTTTTTTTTTTTTAGTGAAGAACAATTTTATAATATAAAGACGGTTGGTTGGTTAGTTGGCTGGTGTTTTAAAGTCATGCCAACTCCCTTGGCTATTTTCATGGCGAGTAACAAGTTGAAATACTATAAAAGAGTGATTTAAAGTTTGCTTTAGATAAAAAATTATTTCTTTAAAAATGTTTGCTGAGTAATGTAATTTCCTAAGAGAACTTGAATCACGATTTAATTTAAAAAAAAAGTTCTAAAAAAAAAAGAATTATTTTCCACAATAAAGAACCTTTTCTGCAATGGAAAGGTCCCTTGAATGTTAAAAGTTCTTCATGGAACCCTAGATGCTAATAAATAACCTTTATTTATAGATAGATAGATAGATAGATAGATAGATAGATAGAAGTACATGGTAAAGCTCAGCATTGTGCCATACTTAATGTGTTAGCATTTGCAACATTGTTCTTTGGACCCTCACACACAAAGCGGTTGAGTAAAAAGGGGCAGGGCCTTGGGCCTCCCCGATGCACAGGTGCTGGCCCAGTGTTGTTGCCATGACAACAGGTCTTGGTTGGCACAGGGTCCTGGCCGAGGTGTATGCTCTCAGGTTACAGATTTTGCAACTTTTGAGGGCCAAAGGACTCTTCCAACTCTCAGTGCCAAAATAACACAAGAACTCTAATCAGGAACAAGAGCAACACAAATATTACAAAAGCACAGTTGAGTGGAAGTGATGTTATTATAGAGTGGAAATGTATTAACACAAGGTCTGCAGTGTGAAAATAACAATGAAACAAAGCTGTAGTGTCAGATTTGAGGTTTTCAATATAGGTTTCTCACATATGTGACCCTGGACCACAAAACCAGTCTTAAGTTGCACGGGTATATTTGTAGCAATAGCCAAAAATACATTGTATGGGTCAAAATGATAGATTTTTCTTTTATGCCAAAAATCATTAGGATATTAAGTAAAGATCATGTTCCATGAAAATATTTTGTACATTTCCTACTGTAAATATATTAAAACTTAATTTTTGTTTAGTAATATGCATTGCTAAGAACTTCATTTGGACAACTTTAAAGGCGATTTTCTCAGTATTTAGATTTTTTTGCACTCTCAGATTCCAGATTTTCAAATAGTTGTATCTCGGCCAAATATTGACCTATCCTAACAATCATCAATGGAAAGCTTATTTATTCAGCTTTCAGATGATGTATAAATCTCAATTTTCTGAAAGATTGACCCTTATGACTGGTTTTGTGGTCCAGGGTCACATTTGTAAGCAATTTGATTATAAATATAAAGCATGATGAACTATGCAAAGTTAAGATCCTGCTATTGTATTCGTGAATGAATAACTGAAGGTCCGACTTCTTACCAGCATTCTTCCCACAGGATCTAGTAATGTACAAAATGAAGTGACCGCCATCTAGTGGTCATATTTGTAAAACAAACGGTTCAAGATTTATATTTTTATTCAGAATACAAATAGCAGAATATGTTACTCCATTAATACAGCAGCATAAATTAACACAACTATTCAAAGTGATAACATGACATAATATTTTGAAGTGCTGACTAACAAAAGCAACAAATTTTCTATTCTTATTTTATTTGAACTATTTTTAGTTATTCGTTCTTTCTAGTTTCAATCATATTCCCACACAAAATATACAAACACATAAGATTCATACATCCTAAAAGTCTCATTTGATGCATGGTAGCAAAGAGTTAATGTGTTTGTCTCAAATACTCAATCCTCAGTGCGTGACACATCAGTCCTTGTGTTTATTCACTCAATTTTCATCCGCACACTGGAATCATTTTGGCTTGAAGGGATCAGACCAGATCTTCACACCTAATTCAAATAAGACACATAAATGACGATTATATATAGAAACTAATGTCTGTTAAAAGCATTCACATGGGCCTAATGCAAATAAACTGTAACACAGAAAACATAATCCTGCCCATTAATGATCCTATAAATCTCGTGTGTGATATGAGGTGTCACATGTATGTTTACAGTAATAACAATGCAAACTCAACACACTGGGCAGATGACATAATGACTTACCAACCGGCTGCACATCTGCTTGATTGATTTCGGCTCGATTTACCTTCTGGATCTGTTCTGCAATTACAATGACACAAATGCAGACAGCATAAAGACAAGTACTGGGGGAAATGCTGACACTTTTTAGGGTAAATCTCACAAAAACAAGCTTCCTCCACTTTATTATTATTATTACTATTTTAATGGTTAAAACATTTTTACTTAATAATTACAGTGGTGTTCCATGTTATTTTAGTATCACTGCTATATCATAATTTTTTAATTTTAATTTTAATTAAAGTATTAGTAATTTTGATGCCTTGTCATTATTAATGTCTATATTTACGTTTACATTTTTATTTTTAGTTGATTTATTTTTAGTTATTTTAGTACTTCAAATAAACGAACATGAGAAACGTTGCCTTGGCAGCTAGCTGAAATAACATAAATTATATATATATATAATTTTATTATTAATTTGTATGTTTTTAGTTTTAGTTAGCGATAATAACCCTGGTGGTGTTCCTGTTTAATTTATGAAATTATTTTTAGTGCAGTTTATTTTTTCACTAACTCATTATCCAATTATTGGATTACAAAATGCAATATAATTATACTTGATGTACGCCATTTTAGATAACAGTGTCCTAGTCGTCCTAGTGTTACTTTAGAGTGCTTTTTCTTCTTCTTCTTCTTTTTGTTGTTGTTGTTGTTGTTACATTGCTCAAAAAATGAATAAAGTCCCTTTTATTTAACTCAGCGTAGATTAAAGGCAGTATAACGCTAAGGTGAAGTATACATTCTTTGCAATAATATGTGTAATAACGCGCATTAATGTTTTCACTACCGAAACTGATAAACTGGTTATAAAATTATTAGGTTAAAAAATACAAAATTGAACCTGAAGAAGTTTACTAACAACACAAGAGCAGTGTCATAATGACTAATGTCTCATTGTGTTGTAATAAACACTTACTGTAGTCTTCAGTGTGAGTGAGAGGATGGAAAAATATAGGATAAAAAGCCACAGCAACTGCTGCAATGAAGCCTCCAAATATGAGCGTTATCCTCCTATTAGCAGACATGATTTTGATTATTTGATAGATTCACCTCATCCGAGGACAGAAATCAACTCTTTCATGCTCTTCCGGGGTGAATATTAAAAACAAGTTTAAAGTCTGTTGTTATTTAACACCTGTTCTCCATTGAATATAGCGTATATTTAAAAATTATTGTAATTTAAAATGTATTTTACATAAATGTGATATCATACTGGTAAAAGTTTATATTGTGAGCTAACAGTATCGCAGAATAATGTTTGTCAGTTGGGCTTTTATTTTGTCGCGAGGTCTCCCGTCATGCTGTGGGTGTGTGTGCAGTGTGTGTGCAGTGTTGCTGTGTCAGTGCGTGCAGGGATCGCTGTCTCTCATCAGTCATAATGTCCGGCAGTAACTCATACAGACTGCGCTGCTCTCTCGCCGCGCATGAGATGGATGTCAGGGGGCTCGCCGCCGTCGCGTTTCCAGACGGAGCCTTTGTGTCCGTGTCCAGAGACCGAACCGCGCGGGTCTGGGTACCAAACCCAAGGTACATCGCCAGCTTCCTCCTGCTGTCTCTGAGACCCGGTCTGCTTTCCGTTTCGTTGGTTACTAAGCTGAGGGGTAATACGTTTTCAGAGTTGGTTAGTTAATGTATTGAGAGGGGTTGCCAAATCAAGTGAAATTCGGCAACTCGTAAGCATCATAGCTGAAAGGAAACTGACCGGGTTTGGTTTCCTGACAGCGACCGATCTATAAAAAAACTATGAAACCTTAAAGGAGTAGTTCACCCGAAATGAAAATGAAATCTCTTGTTGTTCCAAGCCCTTATAATTTTTTTCTTCTTCTGTGGAACACAGCTGAAGATCAGGCACCTGTTCGCTTGAATCTTTTCCATACAGTGAATAGCGATTGAGTCTTTCTGCCTAACGTCTGCTTTTGTGTTTCACAGAAGAAAGAAAGTCATACACGCTGGAGGAATTTTTGGGTGAACTGTCTCTTTAAACTTCACTAAGCGACGCGTTCTCTGAATTCACTGAGATTCAGTTCAATTCAACTCAGTTGAATTCAGTTCAGTTTAGTGAAGCTTTATGATTTGTTTATTGGTGTACAGCATTGCTAAGTAAAAAAAAAATAATAATAAATTTACCTACCTCAAACTTTTGAACGGTATTGTAAATAGGATAGATAATAAAAACACATGACCAACATCTGTTTAACTCTTCTGTTTTTTCTTCTGCAGTGAAAACCAGGTTTTTACAGAGATGCACTGTATGAACGGCCACTCAAACTTTGTGTCTTGCGTGTGTATCATCGCTCCTAATGAAACATACCCCCGAGGACTCATCGCCACTGGAGGACATGACAATAACATCTGTGTGTTTTCACTAGACCGACCAGACCCTCTGTTCACCCTCAAGGGTCACAAAAACACAGGTACCGTCCACTGCTAATGATGTATTACAGTGATGTAACTGCGTGCAGGTTGTCTTGAAATGCCACTGGAATGATTTCTCGAGCCATACCTGATGTTTTTTTGTGTGTGTTTACAGTCTGCACACTCTCAGCTGGCAAGTTTGGCACAATACTAAGTGGCTCATGGGACACTACAGCCAAAGTCTGGCTTGGAGAGAAGTGCATGATGACTTTACAGGTAAAGTAGCATGGTTTTTGGTATCACCATAGTGGTATTGCGATTTGGCTTATTGTGATTTATCGCAAAGGCTGTGATTTAAAAAAAATATGAGCTGTGTGTTTCAGAGTGAAGCGTGGTACTGTGTTCTTTTACAAACATCAGCTCACGATCCAGTGTTTTCAGTGTCTAACACAAAATGCACCAAACCTTTTTCCCAACTTACAAACCAGCTGTGTTAAAAAAAATAAAATTTGCTTTAGGAACTTGGCAGTTGGTGGTTTTTTACCAAAGGAAATGCTTAATAAAAATTAAGTTGTACTGTAAAAAAAATATGTATATTATTTTTCTTAAATACTTAATTTTTATTTATTATTTTATTTTATAATGAAATATTCCAGTAGTAATATTTCTAATTTTTTTATTATTATTATTTATAGTGATATTTCGATATTAACTATTTTTTGACCAAAATGTGCAGCCTCACAAATATGCACAGCAAACCTTTGCAATGACATTTTAAATCACAATCATATTTTTTTTATCATGAAATCATTTTGATATTTTTGTTAACACTGTTAAATACTTTATGTATGATGCATTATAAAGGCATTCATAATGTATGTTCTAATGCATTAAATCTTTTCAGAACTAATTGTAACCTAACATAAAATGCATTATAATATTTGCAGATTCCTAAAATTTTAACATTGATTGTTTGTCCTTTTTAATGCATTATACATTATAAAGGTGTAACAATAAATGGAAAATTATTATAATGTATTATAACGTATTATAACTATGATTATAATTATTATTGAGATCATACATTGCATTATAAAGTGCATTAGATATTTATACATATGAAATGTTAATGATTTTTTTTTTTGTCATGCAGCCCTACATCACAGCTTTTCTTAAATAATGTTTTTTTTTTCTTCTCCCCACACTGTACCTTTAAAAGGGAGATCAGATATACTCACATTGCCTGCAATCAATTTCAGTAGAGTGTGAGTATGTGCTGACTGGTTTCTTGTGTAATTGCTGCTCCTCAGGGACACAGTGCCGCTGTATGGGCCGTAGTCATTTTACCAGAGCAGGGCTTAATGCTGTCTGGATCAGCTGACAAGACCATCAAGCTATGGAAGGCTGGTCACTGTGAGAACACCTACACTGGTACATTGGTGCATTTGATACTTCTAATGCTTTCAACAGTGAAACAATGTTTATGTGATGTTGAATATAGACCGTGTGGAGCTTGTTTAGTTTTATCAGATCTCCAGCAGGGGTCAGCATTATGTAGTTTTTGACTCCAGCTGTGTGAGATATTTGTAATGTGTCTGTCCTGCAGGTCATGAGGATTGTGTGCGAGGGCTCGCTGTGATAAACGAGGTGGAGTTTTTCTCCTGCAGTAATGACGCCAGCATTAGACGGTGGATGGTGACGGGTGAATGTGTGCAGGTTTACTCTGGTCACACTAACTACATCTACAGCCTTGCTGTCTTCCCTAACGGACAAGGTGCTTACCTTCAGTTTTGCTGTAGGTTTGATATGGTGCTACATATTTGTGCATAAAATCTTAATTATTTCCCATATTGTCTTCTTTTTTCCTGTTCTAGACTTCATAAGCACAGGAGAGGACAGGACACTGAGGGTCTGGAGGAAGGGGGAATGTTCCCAGACTATCCGTCTTCCTGCCCAGTCGGTGTGGTGCTGCTGCATTCTGCCTGATGGAGACATTGCTGTGGGAGCCAGGTATACATACTGTTTCTGTTTCATATATCTAAACTATTTGCAGTTTATTATGCTGCATGACCATGTCACGTTTCTCTGAAGCGATGGCGTTATCCGCGTGTTCACCGAGAGCGAAGAGCGTGTAGCAAGTGCTCAGGACCTGCAGGCTTTTGAGGATGAGCTCTCCAAAGCCATCATCGACCCCAAGACTGGAGATTTGGGTGACATCAAGGTAGAGGACTTACCTGGCAGAGAGCACCTGAATGAACCAGGTGAATGGATTGAGGTGTATTTTGAACACATGTAGTGTTCTCAAGAATGTTCAGTGTTACTGTTGTATTATTCAGACCTGCCAACCTGTACGCATTTTGACCTTAAAGTACGCTGGTACGATTTGTCACTCTAAAGAGACGTGATAATCCATGTTTTTCTACAGTATACAACAATGTACTGGAGTTTTACTTAAAGTATACTGGAGTTTGTTTGTTTTAAATAGCATTTAAAATCGCTAAAAAGAACTCTGTTGTGCCAAACCATCAGAACCAAACTGAAAACTGTTTAAAAAAATGAGGTATTTATTGAACCTTGGGCTAACTGTATTGTTGCATTCGTACTGTTTGCTCTAAAATACTGTATAACAGGAATATCACAAACTGAGTGCAGACTCTTTGAGTACTAACCTATGAAAAATATTTAACATGAAGTCTAGCATTTTGCACATTGTGCAATTACGATTTTGACATTAGCCATCAAGGAGCTTCAAGTAATGTAGGAATAGGCTATATGACCCCCGGTATCGCCCCCCCGGTCACTGATGGTACTCAAAAAAAAAATTCAAAGGTTGGCAGTTCTGTATTATTTATATTCATAGATTATTATGGAAGCCCGTTTCCGGCACTGAATTAAAAAAAAAAATGTAATTGCGACTTTTTATCTCACAATTTTCTCGCAAATGTGAGATATAAACTCACAGTTGTGAGTTATAAAGTCAATTCGGACTTTTTTTTCTCACAGTTGCATGATATGAACTCTCGATTCTGAGAAAAAAGACAGAATTGTGAGATATAAACTCACTTAGTTTATATCTCGCAATTCTGACTTTATAACTCGCAAATGCGAGTTTATATTACGCAATTCTGAGAAAAATCTGAATTGTGAGTTTATATCAATTACTTTAAAAAAAAAATTTTATTCAGTGGCGGAAACAGGCTTCCATAAATGATAGTATTTATTAATATCTTGATTTAGCTTTAATATTTTGATTTAGCTTCGGTTTTTATTTTAATTTTAGTTCAAGTTTTAGCAAATTTGTTATGCACTTGTCATTTTTATTAGTTTTTGGTTTTTATTGTCTGTTCAGTTTTCATTTATTTTTATTTCAGTTTCTAGTAAATTTAGTACTTCAACTTCAACTTATTTTAGTTAATTTCTAATTTACGTTTAAGTTTTAAATCTAATATTTATATGTTATTGTATTTCAGCTTTTTCCAATAACAGAAATTATTTTGAATAGTTATAGTTAACCATAACAACACTGAGAATGCTAGACAAATATTTTTTGCTTGTAATAGATTACTATATAGAATAAAAATATATCCTTCTAACTGCATTAAAAATGATGTATAAATAAGTATGTATTATATTTAATACATTATAATAAATGTTTATATTTTTGCATTATACTGTATTATTGCTGTATATACCTTCTGTGTGAAAATATATTATATTATATTAAATAGCATGTAACCATTAGTAGCTCACTATTATTATTGTATATGTGTAGGGAATCGGGATGGCCAGACGCGGCTCATAAAGGAAGGTTCTAATGTTGAAGCGTATCAGTGGAGCGTGAGTGACGGACGCTGGGTGAAGATCGGAGATGTAGTGGGCGGGTCTTCTCAGCAAAATTCAAAGCGAGTGATGTATGAAGGCAAGGTGAGACCCGTGGTATTGATCCAATAGATGTTGTGCATAGTATGTAAGTATGATATAGTCACTGTTAGCCGTCAACTGCAGTTGTTGTGGATCATGTACACAAATATACCTCTCAATCCTCTCTAGGTGGCAGTGCCTATTCCTCTTCTTCTGCTCCGAAAGCTACGACAAACATCTTCTTCCCCAACACGGATGGAGTTATGTTTGAACAGGCGAATACAACTCAGATTCTTGGTAAGTGACACTTTTACATCAGAACTTGACTTAATCAAAGTCTCTGTTCCAGATATAAGGTGGACCACAGGCCTTTCAGTAGGGTTGGGAATCAAAAATCAATTCCAACTCTAGAATTGGATATTTAGGGGCTGTTTACACCTGGTCACTTCATGCATTTTTTCTGATCGGATAGCTATCCGATCGTGAATAAGGTCAGGAATCGGATACTTGTTGTAAAATTGAAATTTCAATTCCACCTGTCAATTCCTGTGCGCACATTTTTTTTTAGTTGGCGAAAATGGGCTGTTAATTTTTTTTTTTGTCTTTGAGTCATTCATTCAAGTGATTCATTCAAAAACATTGATTCATCCAGTAATGAAACAAGTCAATCTTGAGTGAGTCATTCCATTCATAAATTCTGTGAGATTTTGTTTAGTTGTCTAATATTTTTTCTTCAGAATTGTGAGAACTACAACCTCCATTAAAAAAAAAAAAGAGTCTAATTTCATCCAGAAACTTACAGCTGTATTTTGCACACAAACAGATCTTAATCGAGTCCAGTTTTTATGTAGCCAGCTGATTTTGGTTCATGGTATTCAGCAGCAATTAAATGTTTTGCAAAAAGAGACACAATAAATATGTTTGATATCTAAATGTTTGACATAAACGTGTGAGAGCGTGTTATAGGCTATATGACATTATAGTTAGATATGACTGCGCTAATGCAACACGCATCGCCTGGGACGAGTAGCTGAGCATCTCTTCAGCAAGCCGAATGAAACAAACTGCCGCGAATGAAACTGAAAGTAAGACGCAGACGGTCAACACACAATCATCTGTAAACAGGCCCATAAGGTCAGGAATCGGATACTTGTTGTAAAATTGAAATTTCAATTCCACCTGTCAATTCCTGTGCGCACATTTTTTTTTAGTTGGCGAAAATGGGCTGTTAAAATTTTTTTTTGTCTTTGAGTCATTCATTCAAGTGATTCATTCAAAAACATTGATTCATCCAGTAATGAAACAAGTCAATCTTGAGTGAGTCATTCCATTCATAAATTCTGTGAGATTTTGTTTAGTTGTCTAAAATTTTTTCTTCAGAATTGTGAGAACTACAACCTCCATTAAACAAAGTTGGAAATAACAAAAAAGTACATAAAAATAAAATTTATAGACACTATACCATAGTAATGCCATGGTAATATAATAACAATGTATTCTGGGAAGTTATTTAATGTACTGTTATAATTTTATTAATATTTTGAATAGATTTGAATTGGTTTTATTTTTATATTTTAGTTTAAGTGTTAGTAATTTTGTTGTGTGCTTTTTCTAAGTAGTTTTTATGTTTTGGTTTTAATTTATTTATTTTTAGGTATTAAAGTACTTCAATGAAAATTTGAAATGTTGCCTTGACAACTAGATTTATCAGTTAGTGAAGTGCCAGGGTATCTAACTTCATCTCTGGAGCCCTGTTGGCCAAGCTTGTGATTGGGTGGTCCAGGCCCCACTGGAGAGCTAGGTTGCGCAATCAGTGAAGACATACTTGGTGACAGTAACCTATCCTGTATCCCTACTAGTGTTGGGCGATATGCTCAACTGTTATATTGTTCTATCGTCAGACTGTGAGATCGTGAAACAATATTATCGAGCAAAATTTAAATTATTTACTTGGTTTCATTGCCGGAAAGTGAATCAACGCCAGCATAAGGCTAAAAGCAGCCTAATGTTTTTAATATGATTGAATTTGTATTTAACATGATAATTTAATAGAAACATTGCAAGTTACTAATTATAATGCTTACGTTACCTCAGTTATTCAAACAGCAACTACTAAAGGAACAAAGGACATTTACATTACCAAAGAACGTCATCACTGACTTCAATCTAGCACGAGTTTATGCACTTTAAAAAACACTCCCGTTATAATCTGTGAAGCTATCTGCACTGTATGATGTACAAGTCTCTTATACTTGCATCGCACGTACATCTGCACTTTGTTGTTTATGATGAGAGAATTCATGAGAGAGCTGAATTCAGTCAGCGAGCGCGCACAATGAACAACAAAACTCCGCTGTTTCAGCGATGACTCATCTGAATGCCTCTGATTGGCCATTGGGTTCATAATCTCAGTGGAATCGTGTGATTGGTTATAATGCGCAACACTGCCCTAACATTAATTAGATAGTATTACTAACCTAATAATAATAGTATTAATAATAATAATAAAAATAATCATCTTGCTATCATTAGTGGCATCAGCCACAGGTGATATCTTTGTCTATTGTTGATACACGATACTATCATCTATCGGCAAAACTCTAATCCCTACATAACATTTCCTCAATATCATTTGTAGGTAAGCTTCAGGAGCTGAACAACACTGCTCCTGCAGACCGTAAGCTGAGTGACGCAGCACTGGACTGTCTGGAGAAATTGTTGCTTCTAGTTGCAGACCAGAAGAGTCAGGAGCAGCCCACGGCAGAGCAGATCAGTGTTCTGTGGAGGACTAGCCACTGGCCAGAAGGTAAGGCATTGAGCCTATTTAACCTTCTTAAATAAACAATTCACTATACTAAGACTTAAACAAAGTATCACTGATGGCAGAGGTGTTCAGTTCTGCTTCTGGAGGGCCATGGTAGAGTTTAGCTATAACTCTTAATTAAACCACCTGAGCCAGCTAATCAAAGTCTTCAGTATTACTACAAACTTCTGTGGCCTGTTGCATGAAGCTAGCTGAATAAAATTTCAGAATAAGTTTAGAGTTGACAAAACCAAACAGATCCAACCTGGTTTAGATCAGGTTCAGCGAGCTCACAAAGCGTTCTCTGTCAACTTGATCCAGAGTTTGTGATTAACTCTGGAGCGAATGCATCTGAAAGTGTGACACGTGCAGCAAACAGCGGAACATGGAGAGCATCGGTTTGATTCACTTCTCTGCCGAAGATTAAGAGATGTCGTTAATATAATGAATTTAAATGAATTTACAAGGCTGTTGCTGCAGAAAAAGTTTGAAAAGGCAGCGGAAAGAAAATATCTGACTATGCAAATGAATCAACTGAATTCAATACTTTATACTCAGAACTACTTCATCATATGAACCTTTTATCAAATTTTTGTCCTATTTGAAAGGTTGCCTTGTAAAAGTGAACTGAACCAAAGAGAAAATGAAACATTGTAACATTTTAGTCGATTTCACAGTGTTGTTGTATTATTTATATACATTTACATTTACATTTAGACATTTAGCAGACGCTTTTATCCAAAGCGACTTACAATTGGGGGATACATAAAGCGATTCTTCTTAAAAGAGGCAAACAGATACAGGAAGTGCTTGTAATACCAAGTTTTTAGACATTGTTCAAATAAGTACACGCTAGAAAGAGAAGGAATAGATAAAGAGATAAAAAAAACAAATTCTTTTTTTTTTTTGATGATGATGAAGTCAAGTAGCTTCGAAAGATATGAGTTTTCAGCTGTCGCTTGAAAATGGTCAGGGATTCAGCATTCCAGATAGGGGTGGGGAGATCGTTCCACCAGCCAGGAACGGTGAACGAGAATGTTTTAACGAGAGGTGTATATACAATTAAAGTTTTTATTTGATATTTGGAATAAGATTTTATTTTTTTAATATTTTCATTTTTAGTAATTTTGTTATGTGCATTTGTCATTTTTACTCATTTTTGTACTTTTTAAATATAAGCATTTAGGTTTCCTTTATTTTTATTTCAGTATTACTTTAGTTTTTTTATTATTATTATTATTTACACCTCATAGTACTTAATTAAAATGTCATAACTGGACCTTCCAGGGGAAAAACAACAGACTTCTCTCTGGTGAGGTGATATATATATATATACCTTATCTAATCTTATCTTTTTTTTTTTATATAATCTGTTAACTTGGATGTACCTCACAATACAGAAGAAAAGATCTGTTGCTACTTCCAGTCTATTAATCAGTCATCATTTCCATCCTCAGATATTGTCTTCCCAGTGTTGGACATCCTGCGTTTGGCTGTGCGCCATCCAGAAGTCAACGCCCAGCTTTGTGGTGGGACTGAAGGTGCCAGTCTTTGCAACCATCTCCTGGGTCTCATGTCTCCTGAGGGCAGGCCCGCAAATCAGATGCTGGCGCTCCGCACTCTCTGCAACTGTTTCTCTGGGTCCCACGGCCGCGCTCTACTCTTGGGTCAACGTGACGCAGTCCTGTCCCGGGCCGGTGACCTCCGTGTCGTCTCCAACAAGAACATCCACGTGGCGCTGGCTACCCTGGTGCTCAACTACGCTGGAAGGTTGTACGGTCAACCCACCGAGATCGAGGCGAAGGCGCAGTGCTTATCAGTGGCCAGCACCGCCTTAGAGGTCGTACACGACAAAGAGGCCGTCTTCAGGCTGCTGGTGGCCCTGGGGACCACAGTGGCCGGGGACAGCACCGCAAAGGACCTTGCACGATCTTTGGGTGTCAACTCTCAGATTTCTAAATATGCCAGGGTCTCTGATCCGGCTAAAGTGGGCGAGTGCTGCCGACTAGTGCTTGATGAACTGCAGTGATGTTATGAAGGTGAACCAGCTTCTCCTTCCATTACTACTCCTCCATGAGAAAAGCCCTCTTTCAGATCTCTTAAACCTCAATCTATATATTAGTTTGTATTTAAATTTTCACATTTTGAAGCTGAATGGATCTGAATGAATGCATGATGTGAATAAACACTGGTGATCAGTTGAAATCTTTCCTAAAGCAAGGCTCATGTTTTTGATGTAGATCAGTGGTTCTCAACCTTTTTGACTCGAATGCCCCCATAACCAATTTAGGTTGCCCATAAGATATTCCTAGTGTTTGTGCTGTAATTATGACCAAGCTGCTTGTTTTGGAGGTATGCCTTTAGTTTCTATCTTGATTTTGTGTTTTTAGCATTTTAAAGGGGGTCATATGATGCGATTTCAAGTTCTCTTTTATCATCTCGTGTTCGAGATCCACCTATGGGAAGGGCATCCATACCTGACCTCTGCAGAAGCATCCAATTGCACCAAGTCTGGCTAGACAGACAGAAGCGCGCAGCCAATGCCAGGTAAGGCCCCACCCCCTTACCTGAGAGCATATAAGGCCTGCACGCAACGCTATTCTCCAGTTGACATTCGCTTCTCGCGACCTCTGGAATTTACTCACAGCTCGTTGGTTTTGACTTCACTTAACCGTCTACAGGAGGACACATCTGTGGATCAGCCTCCGCCAGGCGTGCATGTCAATTTACCATGTCAGCTGTTTTTATTCTGCAAGCCGCCCACGCTCGCACTAATTACTAGGCTGCCCGCCTCTTACCTGTCCTTTTCCACTGTCCGTTGTTATTGGCTCTTTCCAAACCGAGTCCGGCTACTACCGTGGACAACCTGTCGCGAGCCTGCCCAGCCGCGTGCGGTGCCCTCTCGGGGTTGTCTAACTCGGATGGGTTTAAGGCGACACCGGTGCGCTCCCGGGGGCCTCCCGTGGAGCAGCCTCACTTAGCCGGGCCGATCAATGCATTTCATCGACGGGCCGCCCGGCTCCGGGGACGTGGACGATAAATACCATCTCTACGGCTCGAAGGACGAGGAGGCCATCCCGTCATCCGTAGTCCTTCAGACTTATGATCCTGCGGCTCTGCCCCAATTGGTCCTCCTCGAGTTTTGTGAGCGAGCGACTGCTCGCCTCAATATCGAATGGCCAGTACTTCAAGTGCGTCGGACCAGGAAAAGGACTCGTACGACGGGAGACTTCTCGGAGCCTTCCCCGGCCCTAGAAAGCTGCTTCTCCCCATCTTCTCTGCATGTGCTAAACACATGGCAAAATTGATCGTTTTTCCGCGATCATTCATCAGGCCTCTTATTAAGCCCCGGCTTTGGCGGTAAGAGCCCTCGGTGTCTCCTCCCTGCCATCCGCTTACCAGCGAACTGCTGGTCGACATGGGATAACAAAAGAAAGGGTCGCCATCACCCACGTTCTCTGGGAGGAGTTACTCACGGTAAATCACTTTGTTCTCTGTAATACCCGTCAAACTGTACGAACAAGCGGGCGCTCTATGGCTCTCTCGGTGGTCGGAGAGCACACACTGTGACTTAATCTTTCCGGTCTCCCTGAAAGGGAATCGCCGGTCGAGCCTGACCAGGCTCTCTTCGGGCCTGCCGTCGCGCTAATACAGCAGCGCTGCGAAGATAAGGAAAAGGAGGACGAGGGTTTTAAACTTTGCCTTCCTAGGAAGCCTGCACCGTGCCAGATTCCCTCTGTGCGGCCGGATTATAAAAAAAATAAAAATCCCACTGGATTGTTGCACAGCCACAGGTGGCTTTGAGTTAAAGTTCACGGGCGGCCAGCCCTCCGGACACCAGTTCTGCCCTCGTATTTCCCCGTTTAAACAACGGAGGTTATCTGTCGGCGGAGTCATGGGGTTCAGTGTTGGCACGGGCTGCACCGGTGTAGCCCAGTGCTTGTTTCCCCGTTTTCAGAGGGGAATACAGTGAAGAAAAAGTGCACAAGCAGTGTCACCACACAGCTCCCTTCACACTTTTCCCACAAATTCAATAAAGGCTTCGTTCTCAGTGTTGCCCAACACACATACAAAAAAATAAATAAATAAAAGATAATCAAATGAATTACATGATTTCGTTAATAAGAGAGAACATCTCTTTACAGCCCCACATGTCGCTCCTTCGTTACCCACGAGATGAACCCAAAGAACCCCTTTGGGGATGGTGATGTTGCAGAAAGTCGTGACGACAGATGCGTCCCTAACAGGCTGGGGTGCCACCCAGGAGGGCAGAACGGTGAACGGTTTGTGGCCGAGCAGACTACGTTCAGCGCACATAAATTATTTAGAGCTTATGACCATATGGAAAGCTCTGAATTATTTTCTGCCTCGCCTGCAGGGGCATCATGTGCTCGTACGCTGCGACAATACCACAGCGGTAGCATATATCAATCGCCAGGGCGGTTTGCGCTCATCGAAACTTCACGCTCTAGCTCACAAGCTTTTAGTGTGGAACAGGCGGTTTTTCCTGTCCTTACGCGCGACTCATGTTCCAGGCATTCTGAACAGAGGCGCGGACCTTCTATCAAGGGGGAATCCACTCTACGGAGATTGACTCCTCCACCCTCGGATAGTGGGCTTGATATGGATGAGATTCGGACAGGCAACCGTAGATCTATTTGCCTCACGCGAAAACAGCCATTGTCTTACGTTCTTCTCGCTAAAGGATGTGGACGCACCCCTCGGGGTCAAACGCACTGGCCCATCCATGGCCCAAAGTGCTGCTGTATGCTTTTCCTCCCCTGTGCCTGATAACTCCAACACTGGCCAGGGTGAGAGAGAAGGGCCTGTCTCTCATTCTGATAGCACCCAGGTGGCCCAAAGCACCGTGGCTGGCAGAGATAATTCCTCTGTTATATGCCCAGCCATGGCGCCTCCCCCTCCGCACAGATTTATTATCTCAAGCGAACGGGGAGATTTATCACCCACACCCGGACAGGGTGGCTCTCTGGGCCTGGCCCGTACCTTATGGATAAAGGCAGGTCTTTTTCCACCATTAAGGTCTACCTGGCAGCTATTTCTGCTTGTCATGTGGGCTTTGAGGGCTCAACGGTCGGGCAGCATCGTCTAATCCGCAGATTTATGAAGGGTGCCCATCGTTCTTTGCCCGTTATCAGGAGAACTGTTCCTGAATGGGACCTCTCCATGGTGCTGGAGGCTCTGTCTCAATCCCCTTTTGAGCCCCTGGGAAGTATTTCCCTGAAGCTGCTGTCCTTCAAGACAGCTTTGCTCTTGGCCTTGGCTTCAGCTAAACGTGTCAGTGAGCTTCATGCACTCTCGGTTCATTCCTCGTGCACTAAATTATCTCTTAGTGGAGATAAGGTTTTTCTTAAGCCAAACCCGGCTTTTTTGCCTAAGTGCTTCCCTGCGGCCCATCCATGGCCCAAAGTGCTGCTGTATGCTTTTCCTCCCCTGTGCCTGATAACTCCAACACTGGCCAGGGTGAGAGAGAAGGGCCTGTCTCTCATTCTGATAGCACCCAGGTGACCCAAAGCACCGTGGCTGGCAGAGATAATTCCTCTGTTATATGCCCAGCCATGGCGCCTCCCCCTCCGCACAGATTTATTATCTCAAGCGAACGGGGAGATTTATCACCCACACCCGGACAGGGTGGCTCTTTGGGCCTGGCCCGTGAGAGGACAAACTTAAACCGCTAGGGCTTCCCCCGCGTGTGGTTGCTACTATACAGAATGCCAGGGCCGTGTCTACTCGGTCCTTATATGGCTGTAAGTGGCAGGTGTTTGAAGGGTGGTGTGATGGGCGTCGTCTCACATCATATCAGTGCTCAGTTCCTGATATTTTGTGTTTTTTACAAGACCTTATGGATAAAGGCAGGTCTTTTTCCACCATTAAGGTCTACCTGGCAGCTATTTCTGCTTGTCATGTGGGCTTTGAGGGCTCAACGGTCGGGCAGCATCCTAGTATTTCCCTGTCCTTCAAGACAGCTTTGCTCTTGGCCTTGGCTTCAGCTAAACGTGTCAGTGAGCTTCGTGAGCTTCAGGTTCATTCCTCGTGCACTAAATTCTCTCTTAGTGGAGATAAGGTTTTTCTTAAGCCGAACCAGGCTTTTTTGCCTAAGTGCTTCCCTGCATTTACATCGGAGGTGTTGTTCCCTTCTATTAAAGGGAGCGATTCAGGTGGTGCCCCCCAATCTGATAAATCAAGGATTTTATTCTCGTTATTTCCTGGTTCCAAAGAAGGACGGTTCTCTCCGCCCCATTTTGGACCTAAGAGTGTTGAACAAACATTTGAGGAAATACAATTTCAGAATGTTAACCCACGGCACTCTGACCCGCGCCATAAAACAGAACGACTGGTTCACATCGGTCGATCTGAAAGATGCGTTTTTCCACATAAGCATTTATCCGCCACATAGGAAGTTTCTTCGTTTCGCCTATCAAGGCATATGTTACGAATTCACAGTCCTCCCGTTTGGGCTCGCCCTAAGCCCAAGGACTTTTTCTCTGTGTGTGGAGGCAGGCTTAGCTCCTCTGAGAATGTCAGGTCTGCGGATTTTGACATACTTAGACGATTGGCTCATCATAGCCGAATCGAAGATGAAAGTACTGCAGGACACCCGTCGTGTGCTCACTCACATCACATCTCTCGGGTTCAGGGTGAATTTGAACAAAAGCAACCTTACACCCAGTCAGAGTGTGATTTTCCTGGGCTTGGAGCTGAGCTCAGTCTCCATGCGAGCGCGTCTCTCTCAAGAGCGCGTTCGCTCTCTAATGAACTGTGTGTCACAGTTCAGAGAGGGAGCGAAAGTGCAATATCGCACATGTCTCAGACTGCAGGGTCTAATGGCTTCATCTATCCAGGTTTTGCCTCTGGGACTTCTGAGAATGAGGGCGTTCATGAAATGGGTTTTGTCACTACATTTCAGCCCGTTACGCGATCTCTGCCGCCCTGTAACAGTGACGCGCGCCTGCACGGCAGCTCTGCGCCACTGGAGGAGCGTGGGCTTTTACGCACAGGGAACCCCTTTGGGGACGGTGATGTTGCGGAAAGTCGTGACGACAGATGCGTCCCTAACAGGCTGGGGTGCCACCCAGGAGGGCAGAACGGTGAACCGTTTGTGGCCGAGCAGACTACGTTCAGCGCACATAAATTATTTAGAGCTTATGACCATATGGAAAGCTCTGAATTATTTTCTGCCTCGCCTGCAGGGGCATCATGTGCTCGTACGCTGCGACAATACCACAGCGGTAGCATATATCAATCGCCAGGGCGGTTTGCGCTCATCGAAACTTCACGCTCTAGCTCACAAGCTTTTAGTGTGGAGCAGGCGGTTTTTCCTGTCGTTACGCGCGACTCATGTTCCAGGCATTCTGAACAGAGGCGCGGACCTTCTATCGAGGGGGAACCCACTCTACGGAGATTGGCGCCTTCACCCTCAGATAGTGGGCTTGATATGGATGAGATTCGGACAGGCAACCGTAGATCTATTTGCCTCACGCGAAAACAGCCATTGTCTTACGTTCTTCTCGCTAAAGGATGTGGACGCACCCCTCGGGGTCAAACGCACTGGCCCATCCATGGCCCAAAGTGCTGCTGTATGCTTTTCCTCCCCTGTGCCTGATAACTCCAACACTGGCCAGGGTGAGAGAGAAGGGCTTGTCTCTCATCCTGATAGCACCCAGGTGGCCCAAAGCACTGTGGCTGGCAGAGATAATTCCTCTGTTATATGCCCAGCCATGGTGCCTCCCCCTCTGCACAGATCTATTATCTCAAGCGAACGGGGAGATTTATCACCCACACCCGGACAGGGTGGCTCTCTGGGCCTGGCCCGTGAGAGGACAAACTTAAACGTGCTAGGACTTCCCCCGTGTGTGGTTGCTACTATACAGAATGCCAGGGCCGTGTCTACTCGGTCCTTATATGGCTGTAAGTGGCAGGTGTTTGAAGGGTGGTGTGATGGGCGTCGTCTCACATCATATCAGTGCTCAGTTCCTGATATTTTGTGTTTTTTACAAGACCTTATGGATAAAGGCAGGTCTTTTTCCACCATTAAGGTCTACCTGGCGGCTATTTCTGCTTGTCATGTGGGCTTTGAGGGCTCAACGGTCGGGCAGCATCCTCTAATCCGCAGATTTATGAAGGGTGCCCGTTGTTCTTTGCCGGTTATCAGGAGAACTGTTCCTAAATGGGACCTCTCCATGGTGCTGGAGGCTCTGTCTCAATCCCCTTTTGAGCCCCTGGGAAGTATTTCCCTGAAGCTGCTGTCCTTCAAGACAGCTTTGCTCTTGGCCTTGGCTTCAGCTAAACGTGTCAGTGAGCTTCATGCACTCTCGGTTCATTCCTCGTGCACTAAATTCTCTCTTAGTGGAGATAAGGTTTTTCTTAAGCCGAACCCGGCTTTTTTGCCTAAGTGCTTCCCTGCATTTACATCGGAGGTGTTGGAGCTGTCCGCTTTTCACCCTCCACCTTTTTCTTCCACTGAGGATCAGAGGCTGAATGCTCTGTGTCCAGTTAGTGCATTACAGACGTATATGACTAGGACCAGTGCTTTCCGGAAGAGCGACCAGCTCTTTATTTCATGGGCGCCCCCGCACAGGGGGAGTCCCATATCTAAGCAACGCCTTTCACATTGGCTTGTGGAAGCTATTGCTTTGGCATATGAATCGATGGGTGTGCAGCCCCCAGGGAACATCAGAGCTCATTCCACGAGGGGCTTAGCCGCCTCTTGGGCCTTGTTCAGGGGAGTGTCACTGCAGGACATCTGCTCTGCTGCCAGCTGGGCCTCTCCCCATATGTTTGTGCGTTACTACCGACTGGATGTCACCAAAACTTCGGTAGCACATTCTGTTTTAGGGGTGGGGTCTTCATAGCTCCTTGTTACCTTCCTCTCTTCCTCCCATTTACACATTGTAGTAAAGGAACAAAGGGTGAGTGGGCCGTCGGGCTACGCACATTCGTGTCACCAAGCATGCATTTATTTTCCTGCCTGGGTGTTTCATATGTGTTGCTGGATTTATTTACATGTGTGGGCCTCATACATGTTTCATGTCCTGCCTGTGCACAGCAGTCATGTGTGTGTGTCAGGATTGGCAGGTGTCAGCCCTTGGGGTGACCGTCCTTCTCTGGCTTACAGAACCTCACTGTGAGTGTATTGGGCAATCGGGGAGCTGTCCATGTCTCTCCCATAGGTGGATCTCGAACACGAGATGATGAAAGAGAACAATAGGTTACTGTCGTAACCCCGGTTCTCTGAAACATCGAGTGGAGAGATCCACCAGCTTTGCCCCGCTTGCCGCACGAGAAGCGAATATACTTACTGGAGAATAGCGTCGCGTGCAGGCCTTATATGCTCTCAGGTAAGGGGGTGGGGCCTTACCTGGCATTGGCTGCGCGCTTCTGTCTGTCTAGCCAGACTTGGTGCAATTGGATGCTTCTGCAGAGGTCAGGTACGGATGCCCTTCCCATAGGTGGATCTCTCCACTCGATGTTTCAGAGAACCGGGGTTACGACAGTAACCTATTGTTACTCTACAGTCATGGCCAAAAGTGTTGGCAGTGACATAAATTTAGTTTTTTGCATTCACATTGTTTCTAGATTATTGTGTAGAGTGATAAGATGCATTTTAAATCATTGCTAAAAGCTTCAATGGCCAAAAAATGAACTTTTCACAAAAAAACGAATTTCACTGTTTTGTGATCTTGACACAAAATGACCAGCTAACATTAATTGACTAATCATATCAGCAGCACATGTGAAAGTGTAAATGAGTACTAGTCAGGTTAAATCACTATCATACTAATTAGATTGTAAGAGTAGACTGATTGTTATAAAAGGAGGGAAGAAGCGCTTCCAATCATTGTGTTCTTGTTAGCAATGGTTACCCCCAAAGAAACACGTGCAGCCATCATCGCTTTGCATCAAAATG